AGCGCCCCGGCTTCCCCCGAGCGGGAGCGCTGCCCGCCCGGAGCGCCCCGGCTTCCCCCGAGCGGGAGCGCTGCCCGCAGGGCGCTCGCGGGGAGCGGGGGCTTTGCTTCCGTCCTTTCTGTGAAAAACACTTTCACTCTCCTGTGAAAATTTAAAAAGTTTAATCAAGGGCAATAGGAGACAAGGAGCATAGAGCAAAGGTTATTACGGCCGGGTGCATCTTGGCCCTCAGGCAAGACCACACTTATCTTCGGTGGTACCCCTTACATCAGCCATTACATCTATTGCATCATATTCAATACAAGCAATTATGCATAGTAAACTTTTCCTCCAGGCTAGTTTACATATTCCAAGAAACCTTTAGTTTGGATCCGCCTTTTTAGAGCATGGGGATTCCTTGGCTGTGATTTTGGTACATTTTTATCACCTCCAGTTTTCGGGTGTTGGTCCACACTTGTCCTCAGATAGTGAATGTTGATAGCTGGCATATCTGTAGCAAGTGTCTTCTTCATATGTTCATTGGATGTTATCCCATCCAAGCAGGCATTTTAACACAAGCATACTTATATCAGCTATTTCATTAAGCATAACAAAAGAAATAAAATCTATATAACTAAGTTACTTTAGCATTACACACCTAAAATCTATTTTAATACTTGCAAAAAGCCAGCATTATAAGATGTAACAATAACATTTCCTTCCGGAGGAGGAAGGGAACGGGGAAGGTGCGGGGCAAAGGACGGCAGCGACCAAGGAGGAAGTTTGTGGATTTGCAATAAATCCAATGGATGCTGCCCAGGGGAAAACCCCTCCCGCTCTCTGGCAGGGCAGCGGGATAGGGAAGCAGGGAAGGTCCCGTGCATGTAACAGGAGGGCAGGAAAAGTCAGGGCAGCAAAACCTGAGCTGGCTTCCCAGAAATGCAACTAGGCTTAAAGGGACTTCTGTGTGCCACGCGGTTGTTTCTAACTGCCTTGCCCTTTGGTCTTGATAATAGACCTGTGATTCCTTTGAAGCAATCCACCTTCATGAAATTAAAGACAAGTATTCCTGTTGGTCTCAATCAGATTTTAGAACTTTAAGACAGAAAATGTCTGTCACAAGCTTGCTTCTGTGTAACAAAAACAGCTTTTCAAAAATCATAATTCAAATAATGTTTATGTGAATGAAGCTGCAATATGAGAGTAACAATGAAAGACCAAAGACTAGGAAGGAACTAAACAGCATTAAATTAACAGGAAACCCATATTTTACTAGTTTCCTGTAGCCCAGGAATTCTAGTCCTCCTATGTCTACATTTCTGTCTTAAAGTTTGATGACTATAAAATTTTATGATCAGTTTTGGGGGGAGTGGATCACAAGAACTTTTGTCCTCTATCAATACATAGCTATGTTAGTTTTGCAGAAGGCCTTAATAACATTTGAAAAATAGATGTGAAAAGCTAGTATTGTATGTGCAAAGTAGTTTGCAAAATACATGAACGTGTGACTCTTCTTATAATTGCAGGCCATGTCCAGCTGGATAGCAGACCTACATTACCCACCACAGGTACAGTGTTGTGTACAGTTCTCATAATGTGGTAGTTAGTCTTTACCAGTAGGAGCAATGATTTAATAGCCCACTGAGATGCATAAGTAAGAGGAACAAGTATTTTGGCCTAACTGCAAGTTTGCAGTTCTACACACTCCCAAGATGTGCATGTTGCTTGTTTCCACACTGTTACTTTTATGTTTATTCTGTATTAGAGGTGATTAAAGTCTGTATAGTTCAACAGAAGAAAAAGTTTAAATCTTGCATCTTCTCAGTTGTCAATAGCTCTTAGACTGTCTGGTGTGACTCATGTGCTGCATCCAACCTTAAAGAGAATGCTCAGCTTTGCATTAGTAACATTAATGAAAGAAAAGAAACACCAATGTATTTTTAAGTTATGTAAAATTTTAACTATTGAGTTAGTCTATTTTAAAAAATACACCCAGCTAGTTAGTTATATTAAATCATAATCTCTGAATATGTTTATATAGGTACAGATACACAGATAGAAAATACGCATGTCTTGACCACCTGAAATCCAGACTGCTGAAGTCAAAACTTCCAGAACAACCTCCAAAAGTTGTGCGTGCAGACAAACACTAATGAGGCTGTTTACCTGCATGCCTACTTACCTGATGAATGAGCTGAATGAGCTTTTGGTTCACATTAAAAGCTAAACTTTAAGGCTGGATGCATTCAATCAAATTGGGTTTGTTTGTTTATAATAAATTAGTTTGTGGCCAAATAACTTCTTGATTTCTCTAACAGATGGAAATGAGAACATCACGGAAGTAGATGCATTGAATATAAGGTAAAGTTCTGGTGGCAGTGACAGAGATGTCCCAAGGGACTGAGTCAGTGCAGGGTTTTCTGGTTTTTGTTAAGAATTGGATAGAATTATTTGATTCGACTCCACCCACTTACAAAACATGTTAGTTGTTTTAGCTACACCAGCTGCAGATGTGAAGGCATGTGGAAGGGACTATGAGGATTGTTCTTTTTTTATTGTAGGCAATGTGCAAAGACCATCACAATCTAAGGAGACACTGGACAGACTAAGTGGTAGATTGTAGCACGGGAACGTATTCCTCTGGAAGGAGGGGAAATGGACCATGGAACAGTGATTCCATGAAAGCCCTGAAAAGAGTAAACTATCTGCCTGATAACTTTACCTCATTCATACAGCTGAGTAGAGAAAGAACAACTCAGGGAATCATTTCTTCAATGGTCATTCACAGGATCCAGTGACCAAACTGTCCAAAATCCCCACTAGCCATGCACCTAGCCAAATCCTAAGGAAGATAAACTGCCAAAATCTGAAAAAATTCTAGTACTGGCACAGGTGAAATTGTTCATAATAACAAGGTTAGAATTGCATTTTACCATGTTTGGTACTAAGAATGGGAAGAATGTGATGAAGCACTGAACTTCTCTTATTGGTTCTCCAGCCAACATTTTAGAACCTCTCTGACTTTAAACAGTCATCCTAAATTCCTGTTCTCTGTCTGAATTCTTATGTAGACATTACATAAAGATGTTTCATTAAGGGGATTCTCATAACAAAGTGGAGAAGCAGAGATAGTCTATGGGTAACAATGGTAATTTTGCTGTGAAACAAAAGCATTTGCTGATGAAACTATGATCTTCAACACCTGCAGGCAAATATTCTAAGCAACTTTCTCCTGTAATTGCACCAAACCTGAATATTCCATAGCATGAAAGAAAGTATTAATGTGGCAAAAATAACAGCTTTGACCAGAGCCAGTCCTAGGGCAGCATGACCTGGATTGTCATACATCCGTGTACCTCGAACTCTGGACCTGTCTGTTGCCAGAACTGTTTCGGTTTCTGTTTTCTGCATTGATAACTACAAAAGCAGAAAGACTGTCTGCTTTGTCTTTCTAATTACAGCTATGTCAACATGTAGGATCTTTTGGGTCCAAGTGTGTTGGCATGACTGTGGGTCCACAGCCAAGTCCAGAGTGTGCTGTCACACATCCTCTGCTGTGTTTTGCTCATAAACCAATAAAATTGCAGAATGCTACTCCCAAACACACAGGTATTCTATGTGTTTGCTGCCATGATAAAGTCCTCTACTTAGAAGCTGGGTAGGTCATCTGTTCTGTTCTTAAGAAGACCTCTGTCCTTCAACTTCAGGATTTTGTGGGCTGGTTGCTAAAAGCTTAGATGAACTTGTCAACTTAAACTTGTCAAATTAAATTGTCATAGCTTTCATTTCATTAGGGTAAATAACAAACATTTGTTTTCCTTCTGCAAGATATGCTACACTTAGCACCTCATCCCAATCAATAGTCAGTCTATTGATTACAATGCAGCACTTGATTGACTTAGCAAAACTTGAAGTAAATCACAGACAGCTACGATTCCAAATAAGTACATGTGTATTGGCCAATTATATTAATATTTAGCTAAGCACATAACATGGAGAATTGGAGCCATGTCTGAAATGCACCATTATGTGCCTTAACTAATGAAACAGCCTCATTTACCAAGAATGTTTTCCATCTGTGGCAGCAGACAATCACTTGATCCTGCAGAGGAGTACAAAATGAACCATCAAAGAAGAGGACTTGCATTAATCTTCAATCACGAGCACTTTTTTTGGCATTTAAAGCTGCAAGACCGTCGTGGGACGTGGGCAGATAGAAACAATCTGAAATGCATGTAAGAAACTTGGTTGCTCTACTAATGCGTAAAAAAAGTCTGAATTTTAGAAATGGTGGTCATATTAACGAGTTACCTAAATCTTGTGTTTAAGTAGAGACCAGAAGATTTTGCAGACATAGCAGCTATGCAACTTGGGTGAAGAAAGGTGTAATTAAAAAGCTTCAAGGCACATTTTTTTAGGTCACAGAAACTGCTGGCACAAGTCCTAGGAGTTCAGTGAGTCCAGAACTTTCTTTGGCAAACTCTTTGAAGTAACTTTAGGTATTAGACCTTTACTTGACACCAGTTTGAATTCAAAATCAACTTTAGTAGTTTTATTCATAAATAATGAATAAGAATATTACTTCCTCCACATGGAAAGAAACTGAGTTGGTAGCAATTGATATATAATTTGAGCAAGATTTTTACTAATACTGATTTGTTCTAACAATAGTTTGACAGACCTTGGGTTTGAAGTCCGACTTTTTGACAACCTGAAAAAAGAAGATGTGCAGCAGAGAATTTATGAAGGTAAGAGACTGTGTATTGTTTATGTCTATTGCAGCAGAATTCCCAGATACCTTTTCTTCCAATCTCTCAATTCATTTAACTTAAAATAAATTTTTGTAAACAAGGAATTTAACATTAAAAGGACTGAAAGGTTAGACTGAAAATTATTTTATTGTAATTTTATTGTATTTTATTATTTTATTATTTTATTATGTAAATGAAGCTTCAGTGAAGAGAACTAATTAAGGCACTGAAAGCTGAAAGACAGTATGCGCAGCTGGGAGAAGATAATTACATTCTTCTTTTTATGGTTAGTGTCCCTTCAGCCAGGTTGAATCAATGCACCTTGAAATCCCTACAGTATGGCTTTTCCTGAAAATAGCATCCATTTGAAAAATGACTGACTGGAGATTCAATGATATGATACAAATGTACAATGTTTTTTAGACCTGAATATGACTGTTTTGTCATTTAAACACCACTTGACTATTTCAGCCTCTATGGAGGACCACAGCAATGCGGACTGCTTTGTCTGTGTTTTCCTGAGCCATGGTGAGGATGGTCACATTTTTGCATATGATGACAAGATTGAAATTCAGACCATCACAGACATGTTCAGAGGAGACAAGTGCCAGAGTTTAGTAGGAAAACCAAAGATATTTATAATTCAGGTAAGATGTCTGTTTCTGAATTCAGTGAAGTTAACACTGACTTGTGTCTTCCTTGCAATAGAAATCTATTTTCCTGATGCAGTCTTTCCACAAGGCATTTAAGACAAGGATTCTTCTCTTTTTTTTTAGAAACCCTATTGTATACTACTGTTAATATTATTATTACAGCTGTATTTAATAAGTAATTTTACAAAAAGAAACACAAACCCATGTCAGATCAACTGTCAGTGTGTATTTAATAGCTGAGAAGGCAGTACCAGGGTTTTTTGCAGCCTGAGCTCAGTTCCTATTGGTCACACTTCACAGCCCAAGGCTAAGCTGATAAGCTATCTAACCTTTGTATCTTCATTGCTTCCTTCCAGGCAAGTTCCTTTACTTGATCCTTAGTGAAGTTGGGTTTTGTGTTTGGGTTTTTTTCCCGTTCTTTTTTTTTTTTGTGGCATTTTTTGGTTTTTTTTTTTTTTTTTTTTTGTTGGTAGAGTTTTTTTTTTTTTTTTTTTTGTTGTTTGTTTGGGGTTTTTTTTTCTTTGACCTATATTCAGCATCTCTGTAGAATCCAAAGAATCAAATTAAGGCTTTATTGTCTCATGAATACTATTTGTGCTAAGTGGTCACATAAAGACCATATGTAACCTCCTGTTTCTTTCTTTGGTTCATGGGAGAATGAAAGTTGGGAGGTACATCAGGAGGTCTCTGGTCCAGCCTCCTGTTCAAAGCAGAGTGATGGGGTCAAAACAGGTCATACAGGGCTTTATCCCGTCTTTATCCAGATTACAATTAGCAAATTCATATATATACCTGGCCTTCAGCAGATTGTAATTGTAGTAGTTTACAGAGTAATTCTAAGTATTTCCTTTTTATTCCCAAATGCAAGCTTCCATAAGGCACAGGGTTGCTGCAAGAAGCAGTATATTGTTAATTCACCTTTCATTAGGACTCAGATTTCCATTTTTTTTTTAACCTGCTGCCAAAGATGGAAAAAATACTTTCATATTTAAGTTCTAAGTAATACTTGGAAACATTTATAATATATACTCATCAAAAAGAAATTAACTTAGTTCATCAGCTGAGTTATTTTCCAGCACAACTGGCATAGCAATTACTTCTGAAAATCAAAAGAAACATCAAAATGAAACTTTATCACTGTAAAGAAGATAAGAAGATTCTTTTTTTTAGTGATAGTTCTGAAATAATGCTCCTTTGTATCTTTTGATGTGTTCTCACCTTGTTATCCTCCATGTGTAGCCTTTCTGCACCACTAACAATACAGGATCACTACTGACTTCTCACAAAAAACCTTCCCTCAAAAAACACACTTGAGACTGCACTAAGAGCAGAAGTGTAACAGTATATAATGATGGCTGTTCTTCAGAGCAGTAATTCAACACTGCCTTGCCAGCAAGGGAGGAAATTCTTCCTCTCTACTCAGCAATGGTGAGGCTGCCTTTGAAGTATTGTGTCCAATCCTGAGTTTCCCTGTTCAAGAAAAACACAGTCTTACTGGAGTGAGTCCTGCAAAGGGCCACAGAGATGATTAAGGGACTCTGGAGCATGTTTGATATGAGGAGAGGCTGAGAGAGCTGGACTGTTCAGCTTGGAGGAGATGGCTCAGGGGAATCTTACCAAACACCTTGTTCTAAACACCTGGTGGGAAGGAATAAGAGGGAGACAGGCTTTTTTCAGTGGTAAACAAGTGACAAGTTAAGAGGCAACTGGAACAAATTAAAACACAAAATTTCGTCTCAACACTTTTTTTACTGTGAGGATGGTCAAACACTGGAAGAGGTCACCCATACAGACTGTGGAGTCTCCACCTATGGAGATCTGACTGGACATAGTCCTGGACGACATGCTGTAGCTAACACTGCTTGAGTCAGGGGGTTGGACTAGATAATCTCAAGAGATCCCTTCCAGTCTTAGTGATTCTGAGGTCATCTTCGACCTTTCAATGGACTTTGTCCCCAACATTTTAAGTGACAGAGAAATAAATGGGTCTTTCTGAAGGCAGAGTCATGGTAATGTGGCACACCTAGCTGAACAGAAGTGTCCCTGGTTAGTGTCAGAATTATCCTATTACCAATGAGCTCAGCAGGGGTGCAAACAACACTTCTCACCAACAGGCCTGTCGAGGTGACAAACATGATGATCCAGTCATTGCTCACGACTCAGCAGATGGCAGTGAATCCCCTGACAATGAGACTGAAGTGGATACAGCTGGTGTCTATACTCTGCCTGCTGGTGCAGACTTTATCATGTGCTACTCTGTGGCACAAGGTGAGTTCTGATGTGGTGTCTGATAACTTCACTGTAACAACTCTGAACACATCTTCATTTTGCAGTCCAAACAATGAGAACAGTTCTGTGTAAATCTGATTTGCATGTCTGATGAGTAGCAACTTGTCTGGGAAAGAACGTTATGTGCTAAAGAAGTGAAAGCAAATTATTAAAGTGCATTAAATTTGCCAAACAAAAGCATTGCCAGCAGTCTTGTGACTGAGCCTCCTGACAACCAACATCCATCTCTTTTCCAGGATTCTGGTGGCTTATAAATTTCCCTGCACTACATGGCAGTTCTCTCCAGTCCCCCCATGCATGTTGTCCTCAGTCCCATCTGCTCTCCTATGAAGTAGAGATGCAGTCTTGTAAGCTACCAATCCCTGAATCATGTTCCTCTTAGCTGAGCACTACAAGTGGTACCAAAGCCGTTTCCCATCTACAATTTGCAGTGTAATTGGCAAAGTAAGATTTAAACACGTTAGTAATTCCTTATAGATGGTAGCTAGCAAACGTGACTCTGATAAATATTTTTCCAAGAGGTTATCACTATTTACATTTGGATGTAACTTTATGACCTTTTTCTACTCTAGGCTACTATTCTCATCGTGACCCTATAAATGGCTCCTGGTATATCCAAGATTTGTGTGAGACCCTTAGGAAGCATGGATCTTCCTTGGAGTTTGCAGAACTTCTTACTGTTGTTAACAGGAAAGTATCATGTCGCAGAGTACATATGTGCAAAGACATTAAAGCTATAGGGAAAAAACAGATTCCTTGTTTTGCGTCAATGTTAACTAAAAAATTGTATTTTCATCCAAAATCTAAGTAGATTATTTAGCAGTGATGACCATTGCTATTACTTGCTGCAGAGCAAAGAGAATGCCATCTTAGTTGAGGAGATGTAATATTCTACAAGATTGTCTCCAGAATCACTTTGAGCAAACACTACAGTTTCTATACTTCACAGTTTCTAAAATCTTAAAGCACTTTTAAAGCTAGAATTACACCAAGGAATTCATATCAGGAAATATGGTGCCAAACTATTAGAAGGTGCTCAGATTTTACTGAAATTGATGCTCCAGACTACTTTTTTCTTAAAAGCGTCTTGCTTGATTGCCATCTAACTATGGCACATTTTACTGTTTCCAAAACATGTCTAATGTTCCATTAGATTAACTTGTCTTGCTCCTATAGCACAGTTTACAGGGAATATGGTTTGTAGAGCATCTTTTTAAATTTGTGGACAGCAGAATCCACAACTTTTGTAGCTTTACTAGGCTTTTTAAATGTTTTTTTCATTTTCTTGCAACACTAAAAAGTAATTTAATTCCTTGAGTAGAACATAGTATTAATATAGGATTAATCAAACAGGGTTGATTAATAAAGGGTTTCCTTTTGCTTGAATATAATTTATGCTTGGGGCACAATTACAGTTTGCTGTTACTTTGCATCCTCAGGAGAAAAACAGTAGTAATGCAATGAGAACATGTACAAAAGTTTGCTCAGGGTGAGCTTGCCTAGTCCGTATCTCTAAAGCTAAAGCTGCTGGACATCTCTAGGCAGCTCTATAAAGTATAACATATGCAAACCTCCATACTTCAGGCCTTTGAGTTGGATCAGGCCTCCTCTTGGCCCTGGAGAAGATCAGCCATACCTCTGTCATTGGGTACATAAAAGTGATGGTGCTTGGTCAACACAGGATTGTTATGGCTACAGTAGTTGTGGTGCTGACTTGAACCAAATGTTTCCTTTTATTTTTTTAACATTAATAATTGTTCCTCTGAGGGACAACAGAGAACTCAAACTGAACAAAGTGTCTTAATCCACTTTCCTGGGGAAAAAATACTCGGTTTACTGGTTCTGCTTTAGTTAAGTCTTTCCATATCCAATGTTCTGAGTCATAAATGCTGTATCTTACTATAAATCGTGTATGTTTGAATGCTTTGATAAATTCTTTCAATAAAAGGCAACAGTGAAACATAAATGATTTTTAGCAAGTTTGAGATACCTTACTTTTCCAGCACTAATCCACTTTCCTGGGGAAAAAATAATCAGTTTCCTGGTTCTGCTTCAGTTAAGTCTTTCTATATCCAATGTTCTGAGTCATAACTGCTGTATCTTACTACACCTACTTTTAAATGTTGAATAAATCATGTATGTTTAAATGTTTTGATGAATTCTTTCAATAAAATGCAACAGTGAAACATAAATGATTTTATAGCAAGTTTAGGATACCTTACTTTTCCAGCATTATTTACTAAGAAAGCTTAATTGTCATGCTAATCTAAACTTCACCTATGGTGTCACAAAGAGTCAATGCACAGACCAGGGGAAAGGAAACAGTAATTTCAGGAAAAGAATCTTTACTACTCCATGCAGAAGTTAATTATTCTATGAGCTACTGTTATGTTATACTAAATGGTACTAAAAAGGCTGTCCTTGTTTGTTCTGTCATTTTACCAGCAGTAAGAATGCCTCCATTGTACTGATGAGATTTGACAAATATTTAGAAGAACTTTGCTTCAGCAGTTCCTTCATAGGGTTCTATTAAAAAAACAAACAAACAAGCAAAACAAACACAAACCATCAAGTGACCAAATAATTTTTAAAGCTATTTATTGCAACTGTTAAAACTTCAGTGGTCAAAAATACCCAGGTGCTATGGAGTAACTAAATGTTCATATCAGCTTTGAAAGGGCATCTCCAAGATACACAAAACCAAACTCAGTCCTTGTCGCTGATTTCCTGGATGGGAAGCCTCAGGTGCAGAGGTTGGTGCAGACGCCTTAGGGATTCTTCTGCCTGCCAATGAAAGAGAGAGGAAGAGTTCATCCTCCTGCAGCCTCTGTCTTCTCCTCTTTCACACATGCACTGTCTTTCTTTTCTCAGAAGGTGCTGGTCTTAGGCAAGGAACCAAACCAATCAAACAGTGACAGACCTGCTCAACTCATGCAGTCTCCAGAGAGAAGCATGAACCCTGCCCATCAACCCACTCACCCACACCTTGAAGTATTATTTTACTGACATGACAATTGAAAATTCACACCCCCAGGCCACCAAAAAAGCATCAAACTCTTAACATGATGTCAATTATGGCACATGAAATTACATCCTGAATTCTGGGTTTTGAGCTAAAATTAGAGGTAGTTCCATTTTCATTTATAAGACACTGAATACAGGACTGTCAAGATGGGATGGAGGAATAATAATTGAGGAGTGAGAGATCTGCTACAAGTATTTCATGAAGGCCACCAAATTTCTCCTAGGTGTACATACCACCTTTTCCATCCAGTCACCATATTCTCTAAATCTAAGTCTTTTACCTATGGAACAAGCTTATGAAGTCAAATGCTGAACACTCTGCAAGGCAATCTCCTTCCAAGAAAGGGAGGAGATTGGTTTACCACAGCAGTGCAGCAAACATACTGTGTCCACAATAAATGCAGCTATTGTATTAAATGGCCAAAAATGCAACATTAGAGTATGCAAAAAATAGATGTCATGCTGATAAACTGACTTGTTTTAAATTAAATTCATTAAGGTCTCCCTTTCTGATGACCTACAGAAGTAGTTTACACGTCAAAGACAAACATTGTAAAATTATCTGAACAGCTGAAACTGGCTGATAAGCAATACAGAGTATTGATAGCAAGCCGTGAGGTCAATTTTCTGTTAGCTGAGAGTTTACTGAAAAAGTCTTAAGCCAGAAGCTGTGTCATTATTGCAGAACTGCACTGAAATACCTCTGCTAGGTCGTCTTTGAGCTTGTTGTATCGTTCCACATTAAAACGCTGCTTTTTGGATTTGCGGTAGAAGTAGTGGAGGAACTGCCTGTCCTTAGCGTGAGGATAAATGTAGTCCTGGGGAAGGAAGGAGGACGTGGATTTGTGGTTAGCAAGGAAACAGAGTAGAGGTCAGCCCATTAGAAACTCAGCCTGTTTCAGGAAGACCTACATTGTCCAGCACCTATGTATGTAAAGAGGCTACATATGAAATGCTGCTCTTACGGGGGCCATAAGGGCTTTTTAAACACATAGTAGGAGTCATTGCTGTCATGTCTGAAGGGATTTTCAGTTATAATAAAGACATAGGGTGATCTTCATGACTGGAGCCACCTCAGCCAATGGAGTCTACTCCCAAGGAGTCAGAGAAAATTCAGGAACTACTTCTTGAGGACTTATTTGAAAGTCTTAAACAATGGCACCAGCAGCTGTTCAAAAAAGCCTAGTAATCTCTTTATCTACTCACAAAAAGTAGGAATGGCTTAGCCCTTCTTAAAAACCAGTCAGAAGGAGTAAAACTCCAGCTCTTCATAGAAAGAGATATGTCTCCCCTTTTCACTGAAGGAACCTAATTTCTCACAAGGTCTATAGATCCATTTGTATAATGGAAGAAAGTACTGGTTACTATTCCACATACTTCCACAACAAAGAGAGTTTTGCATCATAGAAAGTTCAACATCAAGATGTCCACTTTGAGAGTAAAGTACAGAGATAAAACAGGAAAAAGAAACATTTCTCAAAGTCTTTACAGGATTTCAGAACAAGTCTGTATTGTGAAGCTAAGATCTGAGCAAACCTTCAACTTCTACATAATGCCTGCCTCATTTCAGCTGTCCTAGATTTACCTCTGTTAATTCTAAGTCATGGAAAAGTAGCCCAATTATGAAGAGTGGAGCAGTAACGTTTTTTCAGGCACCAAATGTACTTCAGTATATTCCAGTGATGTAACTGCCAGAGTTCCAAACAGTTTGGTACCCTGCACTGTATATACACAAACTCCAAATAAAACAAATAAAGCAAATAAAACCTACTGTTGGGTGATTTGCTGCTGTAAGGCAGCATTCATAAACTGGCACAGCACTACCAGTTGCTCTCCCATTACTGCAGTAAGCAAGGTGCCACTGACTATGTAAATTGATTTACAAACATTTTAAAGGAGAGACTTCTTTACTCACATTTCATTTCCAGGTTATGAAATCTTACTAACAGTAGTTATGCTCAGTAGCTGACTTGAAGTTCATGTGCAGCAGTACCTGCTTGATTCTGCATGATGTAATATTTGTATCCAGCTGCATTAGGGACCAAATAAGCCCCTGTCTGATGGCAAGGCCGCTTACTGAATTCTGCTTTCATCAGAGCTCAAGCTTTGTGATTCACAGACTCAGTTTTCCTCCTTTTCCATTTTCCAGACATTTAGAAGACAAGGCCTCACCTGCTTGGTAAGAACAAAGTAGGCGTAGAAAGCCATGGCACTCCCATAGGTGATGAAGTACGTGACTGGCTCCATGATGTCCCATGAGTAGACCCACCACGTGAGCCATGCCAGCGCTCCCCCCTGAGTTGACATCAGGGCTAGGCCAACCCATAAAAGCCTGGAGGTTTTTGCATCTGCACTGTCCATGATTCTGGCCTTCATCTGAAGAAAAGAAATGGAGAAACCTGTTCAAATAAACATGAGTACTCTTCTGATGAACAGCTCCTCAACTATGTTTTCTCCCTGTGGGCTAAATCCTTTCTCAGGATCAGTTACCCATACCTCTTACTGACTTACCCTGCTGAGAAAATAAAAGCACTGAAGTCCAAGGGCAACCAGATCTTCTTACCACTGTGCACCAAGAATTCCTCCTTTTAAACTCCCCTCTGCACTACTAGGGATCTGTATCTGTTTGATTTCCATTTACATTCAAGGCAGTTCTGGGTAACACTGAGGCTGGCCCTCATAAAGCAGGAGTCCTGTTGTCCACTACCCTAAGCCATGGATGATGTCGATTCCACTACTGTGGTTTTTTGCTGTCATGGGTATTCAGAACTCATAAAGCAACAAATTACTTTCAATGACATTTCAACAAATGGCCTTTTAATCTCAATACTAGCCATGTTCATGACAGCTTTCTCCAGGTGTTCTGGTTTCTACCCCATTAATGTCCTCAACAGGTAGAAAAAGAACTGAATTGAAAAGAATTTGCATTCTGAGTTGACCTCATTTACATAACAAACAGAATAGACACACCCTAGCCATTCATGATGATTTTCTTCTGTCACAGGACTTACTTCTGATGAAAGGAAAAGCTTTTGAGTTTTTTTTAAAAATGTACTCCCACTTTCCAACCTGTTCAAGAGGCAGCAGCTCTTCTTTCAGATGGTCCAGCCTCTGTAGCAATTCTCTCTCTTTCCTGATCTGGTGATCTTCTAAATGTAGAGCCACAAACAGTCTGTGAACCAAGGATTTGATATCTTCCATTTCAGTAGCATGCTCACTACTCAGCTTATCTGAAAAGAAAATATTTGTCATATAACCATTTCAAGAATATACCCTTCTTCATGCTCTCCTCACCTCCAACCCCAAAAGCAGGACCATCCAAAGGTAAAAAGACAAAGCCAAAGACAAACAGCTTTCTCCCAGGTCCCAGTTTTCTGAGACTTCCCATGCCTTTCACTAAATGAAGTGAGATGACCAGTTATTAAGGATTGCTCTTACCTTTTACAGGAGGTGACACACTGTATGCTGTGTTGTTGATAACAAGCTTAAAGTCATTCATCAATAAAACCTCCATTAAGGTTGCATCAGAGACCTTGCTACCATCTGCAGGAGAAAGACTTCAGTTCTAGATCACTTATCATGAGGAGTTTTAAACATTAACAGACAACCCTACAGAAAAGTGCTGGGATTCTTCACTAATAATGTTTGGAAGCAACTCCACTTTTAGAGCTGGTAGATACTAAACAGTCAGGCAGTGTGATTCTTGGGGCTGTCCTGTGTGCGGGGAATGGAGTTGAACTTTGATTCTCTGGAGAACCCTTTTCTATTTTTTTTGTGGGTTTTTTTTTTTTGTTCTGTTTTTGGTTTTTTTTTGTTTTGTTTTGTTTTGGTTTTTTTTTTTTTTTTTTTTTTTTTTTTTTTTTTTTTTTTTTTTTTCAGAAATTTACATGAATGGCACTCCACAAATTTTACTTGCAATTTTACAGCTCCTACCAAAAATCAATTGGATTAATTAGCAGGAACTACTGGATTAATTAGCAGGAACTACTACTCATGTAACTGTGGTTGCCAGGAGCACACTGGGGTTCAGATGCCCCAAAAACCCCCAGAGCCACACACCACTGCTGCTGGACACATCACTGTGGCATGAGGGTTTGAAAAGCCATGGAACAGCTGCCCCACAGTAGCTGTTTGAGATGATTCTCCTTTTCTAAACACAAAAAAAGCACCTTCCCCTGCCCTTGCCAAGGGCTAGGCAGCTTTACTCCCAAGATGAATAACCAAACAGGCCACAAAATACCAAGATTTTTGTATGTAGATATTTGTCACAGTGCTACTGCCTCAGCTCCTCTACCTGTCCTCACACATCCACTACAGAAAAGCTCCACAATCAACCCCACATCTGCAATGACAGAGAACCCTGTCCTCAGGCCCCATCTGATGAGGCTTAGACTACTGAACTCTGCAGGCAAATGCCCCAGCTGGCTCACCTGCCCACTCTGCGTGGCAGCAAAGCAAACCCAGAAGCCGACCACTTTCAACCCAAAATTGTAATGTGCCTATCCACTCATTTCTGTTTTCTTTTCCAGCATAATAAAACATCAAGGCTCATTTGCATGCACATTATTTAAGGTGATATTTATAACACTTCCTATAACATTTAAGGGAAAAATACTTTTCAAAAGAAGTGCCAGACAGGCCCTTTGTTCTGGGTGTTCTGAATACAACACTAATTTATTAACCTGTGCAACCTTATATTAACTGAAGAGAAGTTTTAAGTAAAGGGAGGTATTTTATTTTAGAAAATTTCTCACACACTTTAAGCAAAGGCTACTTTAATTCCTATGCCTAAACACAAGTGTTCCAATGTGGAAAAAGGGTAATTTTTTTTGTCTACAAAAGTTTTGCAGGATGAAAATCAAATCCACAGATAACGAAAGTGAGTCTTCACACACAGCACTGATGACTTCAGTTAAGGTTACATTTCATTTAATGGTTAAATGACACAGAAGTGTGTCTACACTACATCAAAGCGTCATAGTTTTTCTTTAATAATTGATGTTGAAATTCAACTCTCAGTACTTGACCAATAGTTTCTCTTTACAGTATCAGTTTCCTAATGAATTAAACATCTCAGCTGTTCTATAACATTACAATTGCCTGGCACTTGACAAATACAGAGCAGAGAACTATTCTGAGTCACTGTTTTAATCTAAGTATTCCCAAATCAGAAGGGATGGGAGTGTGTTTAAACAGATCAGACGAGGTGAAAACAACTCAAATTCATCTCCACTTTGGAATCTGCTGCCTGTCCAGGCCAAAAATGCCAGACACGCAGGTTTCTTACAGGAATTACCTTGTGCTTCACAAGTGACTCACGTTTGCACTGAAGCAGGAATAGTGAACTTTGTTGATTTAGCAGAGAGGAAGGCGACCCAGCAGTGAATCCCAAACACTCCTGTCCTGGATGTCTGTACAACAGCAGTACCTGGTATTGCCAGCACAAGTCCTGCCCCACCCCACTAAGAAATCCTTTGTAGGGAAAAACTTCTGTGTTAAGGGGAAGGCCAGCTGCTCACAATGACCACTTCTTACAATGGCTTCTGAAGACATAGAGTCTTTTTAGGAAATTATCTTCAAGAGAATTTTCTATTTTTGCTCCCTAGCAGACACTGTCAAAACAAAGCTAAACAAGACCAAAAAACCCAAGACCAAAGCTCCCGTGTACATGAAGCTCCTGAAGCTCATGTACACACTGGGATCCACATCTCCATTGCTCCAGAGGGTATCAATAAATTGCTCTGTGGGGTATTTTCCTGTTTTACTAAATGCGCCCATAAAGGACAGTAAAGCAGTTTCTCTTAGGTCTGTGGCTTTCTGACCTTCTGGGAACATCAATCTATTTTCAGTTTCTTTAGAAGCCCCTGCAGCCCTCTCTCAGTATCAACCAGAAAGAAAAGAATGTTATGAATCCATCTAGCTATGAAACTGGAGCAACTTCCATTAACAACATCCTTTCTTCTGCTTATGTGTTACCTGCTGTTAAATAAATCTTTCCATAGATATGTAGGTATTCTTATTTTTCTTTCTTTGTAGGGGTGTGAGTGGGGAAGAAGAGAAATAGATGCTTTGAATTAGCCAAATTCAAGTACCTATTCTACCAGATTCAGACAAAAAACCCTACATCCCAATTCTAGTTTTAAGATTGAATCCTCTAGTACCAGGGCGGGGGTTGCAAGAGCACTGCTAAAATACAGATCAAGTTTTCTTGGAAATAAAATGGAGAATAAGGTAAACTCAATGTTAGTTTTATCAACGGACAAGCCAAAGAGACAAAATAGAAGAAAACAGTGAGCAAAGCTTGAGAAAATTATCTGAAGACTTGGGACAATGGGATAAACAGGATATTACATGGAGGAAAGGCCATACCAATGCTAAAATACTAGTTATCCTTTGACCCTTTGAAAGTTTCCTTTCAACCTGAAATATTGTACTGAAAGGGCCCTGAAATATTGTACTCCAGCTGATAAATGAAATCTCTTCAATGTCTTAAAAAACTGTCCTTCATTATTGCGCACATTATCTGGTTGCTTAGCTCTTGAGTTTTTTGTACACAAGTTTGTGGTAAGGCAAATTAATTCTTTTAGCTCTTGGTAACACTGAAAAACTGGCAGGCATCACATTCAATAGCCCAACAGGTTGTCTTTTCAGAGTGATCATGGAGAACAAGGGAAGAAAGACCCATCAAGGAAATCAGGAGATACTTATTTAAAGACAGCATTACAAAGAGAAACTAACTGAAAAAGATAACAGAGGACACTACTGGGATAAAAGAAGAGTTCCAGTAATAGATCCAATTCTGTATTTTTAATCAGCCTTTTCAAGAGGACTCAGTTATTAACTCTGAAACAACACTAAACCCTAGAAGCATTCAAGAGCTACTCCAACAGCCTCAGTGCTAAACCTGACAGAAGACTGAACTTATGCTCCAGAAGAGAAGTACAGTCCATTTAAAAGGGAATGCATTAATTTCAGGGAATAAGAGAAATACAAGATACCTGTTGCAAAGACTTCAGCTCTCTCAATTCCTTTATCTTCTCTTTGCACATCCTGCAGGAATGCTCCTATAGTGGTTACTACTGGCTTGACAGTGAACTGACAGCGTTCATTTCTTGTGGGCAGCATAAGAGTTATCACAGGAAGACCATGTCTGTAATTAATAGTTACTTCTGGGGGGTAAAAAAAAAAGAAAACTAAGTGAAAAAGTTGCATTGTAGATTGTAGTTTAATGTAAAGCAGCTTTTAAAACACAGGATAAATAAGGAAAATAACACAAAACATTTCTAGATTAAAAAAAATAGTAGTATAGAAGTAGTACTTCAATTTCTGGAAAATATACATAAAACCATGCAACTAATGTGACCTCACATCTCATAAAATAAATAAAAAGCTTGTTACACTGATGGGAAGGGTTGGAATAGTTGCTGTGAAAGCTTACCATCAGATGGCACCAGCGTGCTGTTAGGTGTCCCTTCCCGGCCCCTCCAACCTCCAATGTGCCCCCGGAGCATCACCTGAAGCACAGACACAAGGGAACTCGCCTTAGAATAGTTAGGATGTACCTGGTTAAAGGCAGCACCCAGCCTATCACCGTGATCTGCTTCCCTGTGATCTGACATCAGAGGTGTCTGCCTGAAGAAAAACCCCTTACTTGGCAATTCTATGAAAAAGGTGAAACCAGAATTTCTGCTAAAGATATTACAGTATTGCCCATAGAAAAACTTCTTGTCTATTGTGTTTAATTAACTCAAGGAAAAAATAGCAGGGGAAGAAAAGAAAGGAAAAAAATTGCAGTGTTTCTGAAGTGCTTTATGCAACTCTCCTCTGCCCACAGAACAGCCTCTTGAAAAACCTCTACCTCGTGGCACCTAAAGGCAGAATTCCGCAGTGTAACTTCCAACAGAGGGCATGGATTCAGTGAAGACTCACTGCTGAATTGTGAACAACAATCAGAAATAAAATAGTAAGGTACTGAGGTTACACTACCTGTTGCTTCATAGTTATATACTGCATACCAAAGCTGGCTGTTGAGATTTGTGCTGCTAAAAGACAATAACAACGATACAGCTTGAAGATCTTTAATGTTTTAAATAGGAATGGCTTCAATTGCATGCTGAGAGATGCTGCTGCAAGTACCAGTACCAGTGTTCAGTACAACACTAAAAGAGGCACAGCCAGATGCAGTGAGTACCCTCTCTGCCCCAGGGCAGTGATGACAGTGGGTTTTTGAACCTGTAAGGTTACACACCAAAGCCTGCTCCTTCCAGAGCCACTGGGGAGAACCATCAATACACTTCATCACAACCATATCAAAACACAGAAGACAAACTGCTCTGATTAGACCCATTACTTAAAGCTGTCCACCCAGGCTGTGGAAGGCACAAGCAAACCCCCTGCACAAGGAGAGGGACAATTTTATTGCAGTGATTTGACACAGCAGATGTTTTTGCTATAAACTAAGAGTAACGGGTAAAAGAAGAGAAATCACATCCCTGACCAAATTGGTTACAAAAACCACACATGAGCTGGACCTAGGCCTGGGATTTGAAATATGATAGCTGGGGAAAGTGGAAAAAAATGTGGAGGGAGATGATAAGGATCGATTTTCCCCCGGTGAGTTTTATAGCTCATCTTTCTGAAGGCCAAAACATTTCAGAGTCTGCAAGATAATATTCTTTGACAAGGCAGGAAAACAAAACTGTAAATGCACAAGGCCCTGGGTATTCAATATGCCAAACACATCTCACCACATTCACATGATTTATTTGTTTTTAAAGAAATACAACCTTGACTGTCTGGATAGGAATATGCCATTGGGTTAAATAAAAAAAATCTATAAATTAATCTGTGTGTTTCAAAGATGCTGATGCTGCCCTAACTTTCTATCTGGAACAAGCACTTTTCAGGATTTAAAGAAAGTAAGTAATTCTGTGAGTTTTCAACACTGAGAAATCTGTGTATTGTAATCTTCAGGTATCAAAGAGAGACAGAAACCTAGACCAAATAGCAGAACGTCTTAAACACAAAGGCATTGCTCAAAAAAAGGTAGACAGTAGGAGCATAGGAATGCTGGCAGCCACCCAGAGCTAAGGATGCATCTGGTAACTTGTCTTGTTTCTTCAGCAGAACAAAAGACTTTCCCTGGAGCCAGGCAGGACACAGCTCAGCTCACCAGCTCCCATCCCATTTACAGGGAGCACCTGCACCCACAAAACATTTAGGAACACAACCTGGAGCAGGGAGACAGCCCTCAAAGCAGGATCTGTTTTGGAACAGCATGCAGGAAAACTCAATAGCTTTGAACACAACAGCAACTCTTGTTTCTTCAGGAGGATATGCAAGGGATAATAAGGAATTAACTTTTTTTTGCCAACTTTGCAATCAGATTCTAGATATTGATCACCCAACATGCCCCAAGCAATGAACAGCACCCTGCCTGTATTTCAAGGTTACCCAAATTCCCAATAAAAGAAACTAATTATCTACTTTACTTCTAGAAGTGATGCATTCAACAATCAATACAAATTAAATAGATATATTTAATATTTTAATTTAAAATATTTATTAAATTAGATCACATTTATTGAAATAAAATCTTTACAGCAGTTCATTTTATTCTTCTTTAGATTTTGACATTACCATTCATGTTCCATTGAAAGAATCTCTATATATTGGAGCTTATTTTTTTCAGATTGCCTCAAATGCAGATTACCCATTAAAATCACCTGCAAAGAATAAAAAAGCCACAGAGCTATGGAGTTGAACTGATATGCAAATAATTAACTTTCCATATTAGCTCTAGGTTGATGAATTGGGAAGCATGAAGGGCTGGGTTAACTTTCTCCCTCTGTTTCCAGATTTAAATCTCCCCTTCAGTGAAGTTATTAAACCAACAAGTTAGCTTGTGCCCTACAGCCAAATCATTGTGCTCCTTTTGAGATGCTTGGAATGATCCCTCTCCTACCCCTGGAAAAGAAATGTCAGTCAGCAAGCGTAGCAGCTACAAGGAGGACTTGAATTATGGGACCAAAACAGAGAGACTGCCCTCACAACAACATCAGTGAGAGCTGAAATAAGACTGTGTGCCCTGAATTAACTGCATCACAACCTCTGAGATCTGTAAGGAGCACAGCATATTACCAACAACTCTTCTACATGCCAGTGTGTGCCTCTTGGCTAACTCCTATAACCTCACAAAGGCTAAGCAAGCCATTCTACAGCTTTCTGCAATCTGCACACACATGCGGCAGGACATCTGGCTAAAATACCTCTAACACAACCACAATTATGTTCAGGAGTCAAAGGCAGATGAACAGCATTTAGTTGTGAAACATCCCTTCTCCCTCAGCTATATCTGCAGAATATATATATAATGCAAAATATATGGGAGCAGCAGTTGGCCTTATCTCTTGACTCAGTTCAAGGCATGGACTCTCCTGGGAATGAAAACTCTTAAGAATTTAAGGCATAGAGAGTTAATTGTGATAAAAATAATCCAACATAGTCTGTTAAAAATACCAGTTGGTATAAACCAGAAAATATATGCAGTTTAAAAATGTACTTCCTCTGTTAAGGGCGCCTCTGGTCTCTAACAGCAGAGAAGCTGCCACTGTTAAAGTCAAGAGTGGAAATTTATTTCAACATTTTCCTGGTGGTTTACTGCAAAGTTTTAGGGACTAATGCAGCATCAAAACTAAGCTGGAAAACCAGGCAGCCAGACATGACAAGTGGGAGAGACTGGAATAGAAATACTGTATTTTTCACTTTTAAGAGTGGCAAATGACTGAACCTACCTACACTGCAGTTTCTGGAGCTAGCAGTTCCAAATAATCTACCTCTTATGATGTTGAGTGATTGTTCCTGCAAACTTAAGCTCAAATTCACTCTGTGATCAGTTATGTCTAAGAAATCAGTATCATTACCAGTACATGAGGCAACATGAAAGCCTCTGATCTTCCTTTAGCACTACATATACAAATAGTAACCTCATCAGGAATTGTAACTTCTGTTCTGTAAAATATTATAATGTGGATGGCAATAGAGAGATCATAGAAATAAAATATTTTTCACACAAAAAGGTCATCTTGAATATGGAATTTTACAAAAAAATGTTATTAGGACACTTTTTGAGAACACTTTCTGAATTATTGTTTACTTAATTTTGACTTACCATACCAAAATATTGTAACAATGCAGCTAGCCAGGCATCATATTTTTGAAACTTTTGTCTTCTTATATGCATTTTGGAAGATATGGTAGTTTTTATTTGTTATGTCAACAGCAACAAAAAAATCTAACACCTTCAACAATTGAGTCCCCAGTAATTTAGATTTATTAGAGAAAGTAATTAAAAAAGAGTCAGCTCAACTCTGTCTGTCCTCTTCCTGAAGGGACATGCAATACTACAAAGTGAATTACTGTATTTCTTCAGTGTAAGATCCTTTTGAGAGTGCCTCAAGTCAAACTCACAAGTAGTCTTCACAAAAAAATAATGCAGACTGTTACGTGAGTGATCTCCCACATTCTCATTTCCTTCTCTCTCAGGCAATGATAAGAATCTGATACAGAAGAGCACAATAATAAAATGCCCTACTCCACAAAGCACAAGCATTTTACCCTTAAATACACTGCAGCAAAACACATTCTAATTAAAAACATCTTGCAGTGTGCTTTTCCATAGTAATATAGTGCTACAGGCAGAAGAGGAGAGCTCAGTTATCTCCTGCAGTCCTTGTCCAACCCTGGTACAGCTCCTTCCACACAGCTACTGAAAAGCACTGCAGGAAAGGAGTGGGAAGAGACAATTCATGGGGGAAACTAGTAGTTGCAATGCCTAAAAATGGATTTTGGGGCCTTTCTTCCCCTGAGTGTCACCAGACAAGCCAACATTCTCAGCATCCATCGTTCTCCTCGTGTGCTGACCTCACCCAGTTTGTGAAGCAGAGGGCAGGACAAGTCACCTCCCCGGATGCTGCCTGCTTGAAAGGGCAGGAGACAGATGAGGGCAGGTACGTGTTAGCCACATGTTGGCACGGTTCAGTGAAGGAATGTGTTATAAATAGCTATGTATATTTTCCATAGTGTTTTTCTGATAAACACACTTAGAAGTTCTCTGCAGATGAATGATGTCATCTCCTGATTCTGTGAGGGAAACCAACCGAGATTACTTAATTATGGAGCAACAATCTGAAGTTTCAAGATAATCAACAGACATTTCAGAATGGTTTAAAACCAAGGGAAAGGAGAGAAAAAAGCAAGAGCTACCAGCCACAGTCAACAGAGCTTGTAGATCATGCACAGCCAAGCTAACCAAAAATGAATCATTGTTCTGATGAAGTTCACAAGAAGTACACATAAGGTATTTCCCTTTTTAAAATGAGTCATTAAGGCCATTTTGGAGATATCTGCTATTAAACTTCTGTGCTGATTTTGTAAGCAATCCTACATACTCAGGAAAATAAGACATATGGAGCCCTAACAACCGCCTACAATTGTCTTACAAGTGCCCACTAGA